TGGCGTGGGAGTGGTTTGCCACCCTCCGAGAGTGGCGTGCGAATGGTTTGCCACCCCTCTGAGAGGCTTGCAAGTGGTTTGCCACCCCCCCGAGTGGCGTGCAACTGGTTTGCCACCCCCCAGAGTGGCATGCGAGTGGTTTGCCACCCCCTGAGAGTGGCATGCGAGTGGTTTGCCACCCCCCGAAGGTGGCATGCAAGTGGTTTGCCACCCCCCCGATTGGCGTGCGAGTGGTTTGCCACCCCCCAGAGTGGAGTGCGATTGGTTTGCCACCCCCTGATAGTGGCATGCGAATGGTTTGCCACCCCCAAGAGTGGCTTGGAAGTGGTTTGCCACCCCCCAGAGTGGCGTGCGCGTGGTTTGCCACCCCCCCGAGTGGCGTGCGAGTGGTTTGCCAACCCCCGAGAGTGGCGTGGGATTGGTTTGCCACCCTCCGAGAGTGGCGTGCGAATGGTTTGCCACCCCTCAGAGAGGCTTGAGAGTGGTTTGCCACCCCCCCGAGTGGCGTGCGACTGGTTTGCCACCCTCCGGAGTTGCATACGTGTGGTTTGCCAACCCCTGAGAGTGGCGTGCGAGTGGTTTGCCACCCCCCGAAAGTGGCATGCAAGTGGTTTGCCACCCCCCCGATTGGCGTGCTAGTGGTTTGCCACCCCCCAGAATGGAGTGCGAGTGGTTTGCTACCCCTCGAGTGTGGCGTGCGAGTGGTTTGCCACCTCCTGAGAGTGGCGTGTGAGTGGTTTGCCACCCCCCGAGAGTGGCGTGCGAATGGTTTGCCACCCCCCAGAGTGGCGTGCGAGTGGTTTGCCAACCCCCGAGAGTGGCGTGGGAGTGGTTTGCCACCCTCCGAGAGTGGCGTGCGAATGGTTTGCCACCCCTCAGAGAGGCTTGAGAGTGGTTTGCCACCCCCCCGAGTGGCGTGCGACTGGTTTGCCACCCTCCGGAGTTGCATACGTGTGGTTTGCCAACCCCTGAGAGTGGCGTGCGAGTGGTTTGCCACCCCCCGAGAGTGGCATGCAAGTGGTTTGCCACCCCCCCGATTGGCGTGCTAGTTGTTTGCCACCCCCCAGAATGGAGTGCGAGTGGTTTGCTACCCCTCGAGTGTGGCGTGCGAGTGGTTTGCCACCTCCTGAGAGTGGCGTGTGAGTGGTTTGCCACCCCCCGAGAGTGGTGTGCGAATGGTTTGCCACCCCCCTGAGTGGCTTGGGAGTGGTTTGCCACCCCACCGAGTGGCGTGCGAGTGGTTTGCCACCCCTCAAAAGTGGCGTGCGAGTTGTTTGCCACCTCCCAGAGTGGCGTGCGAGTGGTTTTCCACCCCTCGAAAGTGGCGTGCGAGTGGTTTGCCACCCCCCAGAAGAGCGGCGTGCGAGTGGTTTACCACCCACCAAAGTGGCGTGCGAGCTGTTTGCCACCCCCACGAGTGGGGTGCGAGTGGTTTGCCACCCCCCAGAGTGGCGTGATAGTGTTTTGCCACGCCCTGAGAGTGGCGTGCGAATGGTTTGCCACGCCCTCAGGTCCTACAATTCGATAGTCATGCTCACGAGTCGAACGCTGTTTTGAGAACCCAAGATTATGGGACTTAGGAGCTTTTCTTTTTTTAAATAGAATCCAGGTCTCAGCATGGTAAGGCTTTGGTCTAGCATGGGTGAAGTGCAAAACTTCTAGAAGTAATTTCTCCTTGCCCACTTTGAATAAGGTCCTACATTTCGATGGGCTTGCTCACGAGTCGAAGGCCCTTCTAGGAACCCAGGAATATGGGGCATAGGAGCTTTTTTTTACGATATAGAATCCAGGTCTCAGCATGCCCAGGCTTTGGTCGAGTACAGGTCAAGTGCAAAACTTCTCAAAGGAATATCTTCTTGCCCACTTGGAAACTGGTCCTACAATTCGAAGGTCATGCTCACGAGTCGAAGGCCCTTTTGGAAACCCAAGAATATGGGGCATAGGAGCTTTTGTTCATGATATAGAATCCAGGTCTCAGCATGGTTAGGCTTTGGTATAGTATGGGTCAAGTGCACAACTTCTCAAAGTAATATCTACTTGCCCACTTGGAAACAGATCCTACAATTTGATGGTCATGCTCACGAGTCAAAGGCCCTTTTGGAAACCCAAGAATATAGGGCAGAGGATATTTTGTTTTTGATATAGAATCCAGGTCCAAGCATGGTTAGGCTTTGATTTAGTACGGGTCAAGTGCAAAACTTCTAAAAGTAATACCTCTTTGCCGACTTGGAATAAGGTCCTACAATTCGATAGACATGCTCACGAGTCGAACACCGTTTTGAAAACCCACGAATTATGGAACTTAGGAGCTTTTGTTTATTATATAGAATCCAGGTCTCAGCATGGTTAGGCTTTGGTCTAGTATTGGTCAAGTGCAAACCTTCCAAATGAAATATCTCCTTGCCCACTTTGAAACAAGGCCTACAATTTGATGGGCATGCAGGGATGATTCAGCAAGATAGTGAGAATTGAGCAAGGTAAGGGTAATTAAGCAAGGTAGGGGGGATTCTGTAAGATAGGGAGAATTCAGCAAGGTAGGGTTAATTCAACAAGGAAGGGGGGACTCAACAAGGTAGGGTTGATTAAGCAGGGTAGGGTTGCTTAATAAAGGTAGGGGTGATTGAGAAAGGTAGGGGTGATTGAGCAAGAAAGGGGAAAGACAACAAGGTTGGGTTGATTAATCAAGGAAGGGGTGATTCAGCAAGAAAGAGGGGATTCACCAAGATAGAGAGAACTCAGCAAGGAAGGGGAGATTCAGCAAGATATCGGGAATTCTGCAATTTTCGGGTGATTAAGCAATACAGCGGTGATTATTCAAAGTAGGGATCATTAAGCAAGGTAGGAGTGAGAAAACAAGGTCGTGGTAATTCTGCAAGGTAGGGATTATTAAGCAAGGTGGGGGTGATTCAGCAAGGTAGGCTTGATTAAGCAACGTAGTTGGAATTCATCAAGGTAGGGGTGATTCAGAAAGGCAGGGGGATTCAGCAAGATAAAGAGAACTCAGCAAGGTAGGGGAGATTCAGTGAAATGGGGGGAATGGAGGGGGGTGGCAACATCGCAAAAAACGTATGCTCTCAAAACGATTGCGTAGCATTCGCACAAATGCTTGCAAACGTTTTGCGAACATGTGGGTGAAAATTCCTGGCGGACTTAGATTAGAACACTTGGCGAATGCTTTGACAACATTTCCTGAAACTCTTTTTGGTTCACGACAGCGAACGCTTAGAGGTGTCTTTTCAGTAATCTCCGTGGTTCGTTTACAAATGCATGGCGGTGTTCTTTCTACAACTTCTGCGGTGAACATGTAAATGCATAGAGAAGTTTATGTTAATCATTTTTAGTATTCAGCATGATTTGTTGCAAACGTTTGGCGGTGTTTTTTAGGGATCCGTTTTTGCAGGCTACAGTACCCTTTTGGGCATGGTTCAGTACATTAGGGCATGCCTCGTTTGGATTTACTTATAATGCAACAAGCAAATTATTCCTGCACGTTACGTTCATAACTTGTTATCTCGAAATTAATCCAAGGTCGAAATCACCAACAATTAGGACAATGCTTACAACAACGAAGTAGCGCGACGCTGGATATTGAGTCCTGCACATTAGATTCAAACATTGTAATCAAATTAGTTTCCATACGACAGCAATTACAAAACCCGGCTTAAGAGATGGGGGCATACGTTAGTGGGGGGGCGGGGGGTTGAGAGGGGTTAGTTATAGAGTGTTTACTGCCTGTCCTGCCGGGATCCCGCTCACACTTACTGCCCTCTCCCCCTCCCTTGCTTCATGCCACTCCCCCTCCTCTGTCCTCATGCCTCTCCCCCTCCCCTGCCCTCATGCATCTCCCTCTCCACTGCCCTCATGCCTATCTGCCTCCCCTCTCCTCATGCCTCTTTCCCTCCCCATCTCCTCCAGCTGTCCCTGCCTCTCACGCCCTCACGCCTCTCCCACTCCTGCTCTCACTCCTACCCCCCTACCCTCATTGCACTCCATCTTTCCCCACTCTCCTGCACTCATGCCACTCCCCCTCCCCTACCCTAACACCCTCTCCCCCTCCCATGCCCCTCACGCCTCTTCCTCCCCCGCCCTCACGCCTCTTCCCCTCCCCATCTCCTCCAGGCTGCACTCTCCCTTTCCCCACTCTCCTACTCGTACCCCTCTTTCCCTTCCCTTCTCTCACCTCTCGCTCCCTCCATGGCTCTTGCGCCTTACCACATCCCCCCCTATCACGCACCTCATACCTCAATGCTCTCCCATCTCTCCCCCTCCCCTACTCTTACGCCTCTCCCCCTCCCCTGCACTCACGCCTGCTCTCATGCCTCACTCTCTCCCTGCTCTCATGCCTCACTCCCTCCCTGCTCTCGTGCCTCACTCCCTCCTTGCTCTCATGCCTCACTCCCTCCCTGCTCTCACGCCTTCCCCCCTCCACTGCTCTTGTGCCCCTCTCCCTCGCTTCTCGCATCCCCCCCTCGCTGCTATCTGTTGTCTTCCCCATCCCTGCGGCCTCGCTTTCTTCCCTGCTGCTGCGCCTTGACCCTTGATCTGTTTTCATTCAATGAGAAGGCAGGGGACTGCGGCGCGCGAAAAAGCAGGTAACACGTTACAACGTGGGAAAGTGGGAAGCGACCCGCAAGAGAAAGCAGGAAGCGGTCCGCGAGGTGAAGCGAGCGAAGCGAAGCGAAGCTAAGAGAAGCAAAGCGAAGTTAAGCGAAGCTGAGGGAAGCGAAGTGAAGCTAAGCGAAGCAAAGAGAAGCAAAGAGAAGGGAAGCTAAGAGAAGCAAAGCAAAGCTACGCGCAGCTATGCGAAGCGAAGCGAAGCTAAGTGAAGCTAAGGGAAGCGAACCGAAGCTAAGGGAAGCGAAGCGAAGCTAAGCGAAGCGAAGCGAAGCAAAGCGAAGCTAAGCGAAGCGAAGCGAAGCGAAGCGAAGCGAAGTGAAGCGAAGAGTGTTAGGATTAAGGACGGAGTCTAGGTGAACTTAGGAGCTAGAATAACTCAAAATATAAATCCGAAATTCAGGACAGAAAAGTCGTCTTTACAAGAAACGACGTCGACGAAAAACTAGCCGTTGGAATGTCGCGAAACTTGGATATGTTGTAGCTCTTAATCTCAGCTACCGTTTCCAATTTGAATCACGTTGATTGATGAAGTATTCGCGACGCTATGGCTTTCGACGCATTAGGGGGTAAGCTGTAGGAGGAGAACTTAACTCAATCTCAAAAGGTTCAATCAAAGTTCAAGAATCTCACAAGGAATTAGAGGAGCAAGAGAAAGGTTGGGATAGAAGAGAGGGATGAGAGGGAAGGTCCCAAGAGAGTCCCCAACCAAGGAAACCCCATAAGCACAAAGATTCCCTCCCTATAGGAACCTCAACTTTGACCTTTGTCCCTTCCCAACCAATCCATCCAAGTTGGCCACCCTTGCCAACCTAGCTTGGTTGTTCCCAACCTATTTGCAGCTGTTACAGTAGAGTGACAAGTTTACCCAACCCCAAAGGTCCCAACTCCATATAAAGTCACCCCACAACTTCACTTTGTAACCGCCGCAATTGTAACGCAAGCTCATGAACTTTGAATCTTCATAGCTTTCGCGTTCTTGCTCCGATTGAAGGGATTCTCGTTGCGTCGGAAAGATCTTCTCAAGATCTATCATCACAAAAAACCTGCTCAAACAAAATAACACAAAACACATTCCCAAACTCCAGAACACATCACACACAAATTCTTGCACACGTTCAAACCACACATGCAAGTTGAAAAATATGGGATGGGAGGCAGACAGAATGTGATAGCATATGATGACATCACACAACAATCTCCCCCTCTGGCTGCCAACCATCATCCACCATACCAACATCTCAAGCATGCATACTCAATGCACACTCATCCCAGCAAGCTTCATGCCCTTCCAATGATCCGCCTCCGCCAGACGCTTGGTGAAAATATCTGCTGCCTGCTGATGGGTCTTCACTATCTCCAGCCGCACCTCCTTATTGAGGAGTCTCCTCACCCAATGCCACTTAGGCCTTATGTGTTTTGTCAGCCCATGCAGACAAGCATTCTTGGCGAGCTTCACAGCAGACTCATTGTCACAGAACACAACTGTCGGCTCCTCCTGACCAACTCCCAACTCCTCCAACAAGCGCCTCAGCCACACCACTTCCTTGGCCCCATGGTGTAAGGCCATGTACTCAGTCTCACATGAGGACAATCCCACCTCATTCTGCTTCTTGCTGCGCCAGCTCACAGCACCACCTCCTAGCAAGCACACATATCCCCCAATGCTGGTGCCATCCGCTTTCACTGAGTTGAAGCTAGCGTCAGTACCTTGGGTTGAGGAATTGCAGCCCAATAGCATAATGCAATCTCATCTTCCTCAATCTGCTCAACCACACTCCCAGCCTGCACCACATTCGGCTTGCCTCTTCCCCCATAGGTCAGCCTCACTGGAGGGCGCACATCCCTCCTAGGTCGCTCAGGCGGGTGTGGAACTCGAGGTGGAGACTCATGCTGCTGCTGCTGCTGCTGCTCTACTTCAGCTGCTCCCCCTTCCTCAGTCACCCCAGACATCTCCTCCTCTGACACTGCAACCTCCACCTGTCTTGAAGGCTGCTGCACCTCATCTACCTCCACAATGAGCGGTGTAGATGGAAGCTTCTGTTGCTGCTGCTTCCATTCCTTGTAGTACAGGGACTCAAGAAACTTCACATCCCTTGACACTGTCAGCTTCTGGGTGGTCAAGTCCCATAGCAGCCACGCTTTGTGATCCTTTGCAATCCCCAAGTGCACACCCCATCTTCCAGAAGCCTCCAACTTCCCTCTTTTCTCCTTAGGCACATGAAACACTACCATGCACCCAAATGCCCTCAGCATGTTCACAGCTGGAGCACTCCCATACCACTTGACATATGGGATCCACTCCTTATCCCCAACTGTAGCCAGCACCCTATTCTTCACAAGGGCGACCTGCCTCAATGCAGACACCCAAAACGGATCAGGCAGCCCTGCACGCCCAAGGAGAGTGCGTGCCCCCTCCTGCAGGGTCCTGTTGAACCTCTCAGCCACGCCATTCTGCTGCGGGTTGTAGGGCACTGTCAGTTGATGCTGGATCCCCTTCCTCTTCAACTCCCCCTCAAAATCAGCTCCAATGAACTCCCCACCATTGTCACTGCGGATCACCTTCACCTTGTGTCCGCATTCCCTCTGAGCTCTAGGCATCCACTCCTTAAGGACAGCCGCTGCCACCTCCCCCTTGCTGTTCAAAGGGTAAACCCACACTGCCCGAGTGTGGTCATCCACAATTGTCAAGAAATAGCGGCTGCCTGAGAGGGAAGGGGCTCTTGTGGGCCCCACCACATCCATGTGCACAAGTGCAAGTGGGGTCTTGGCTGGTCCTGTAGTGCTGTTGAAGGGGAACTTGGAGAACTTGGTCTCCAAGCATGTAGGGCAGCTCCCAATCTCCTTCACTCCCCC